ATAAATGCCTGGTTTAGACTGCTAGAATGGACCTTCTCCTTGAGAGAGACAAACGGTACTGTGTGGGTTGAAATCATAGAGGACCCATCTCTCATCCCCACTAAGCAGTCTCCCGGAAACTCCTTCTGACGAGGGCAGAGAAGGGGAGACTGACCAAGGGGTACCCGGGTGCACAGCGTGCCATCGGTCAAGGTATGAGTGATCCATCGAGCCAGTACTTCTTGGTAGTCAAAGGCTTACAGGCGGTGGACGACTGTCAGTTAGGTACATCCGAGTCTTGTCGCAAGACTGCGGGTGGTAGCCTCTGGATCCCCCTTGTCTGCTTCGAGAATGGTGGAGTCTTATACTTCTTGGGGCCGTCCCAACCAAGGTTTGCCTTCGAGGATCGAGTCTCTTTTCGCGAAGCGAGCGAACTAAAAGTGAACGATCCTGTAGGTAGTGGTGTCCTCCCTCAATGCACTGTTGATGTTACGGACAGCTGCCGTGGCTCCAGTGCCGCGGGGCCACTGATAGAAGATGATGACCCGAAGATACTCCTGTGAAACTGACATCGTAATTAAACCCAGGGAAGAGCAGGCGCCCTCACACGCCTCTTGCAGGAAAGCTCCCAGAGTGTCCTACAAGCATAGCATGTTACGTCATGTACGAGCATCGAGAATCAAAAACTGTAAGCTTTTCAAAAAACACTGACAGGACTTTCCTTCCAACCTATATCATACGAGATGGAAGAAAGCTCCAGTAACCGTGGTGTGGGGGATAGGGCATTCAGAGGACTCGTAGTGCGTATCCGGGCTTTTTCCCTTCCACGCTTGAAAAAAGGATTCTTCTTTATTGCGGTAATCCCGGTTTGCATAAAAAGTCCCCGAAATCTCCTCGAGAGATACCACCTCCTGAAGGAACACATTCCGCGTCGATCCTACGGGCGGATGCAGTCAGCCATTCGGCCTTAATCGTAGAGGTGCTCCAATAAGGAAAGCAGCGTGGTCGATTGTCTCCGCCCACACATTAGCGTAGATTGTGCCCTAGAGCAAAACAACACTTTTCTGCAAATCATTAGGCGCATTTAAGACGCACTTTATGATAACTCCGCCCTGCACACAAAAAAAGGAGAGGAGTCTAACTTTATGCAAAATGCCACAGCTTACATAATTCCAGACCTCTTGCGAGATCCTCATCGAATTGATCAAGGCGCTACGGTATCTTACAGTGGCCTTTAGCTATCCCCTGGCACTGGTTTCCACAGCTTGATTTTTTTATTTTCCATAATAAATGAGGTGGTGGTTCACAGCGGAGAGAACTGCTGCTGAAGATTTGCTAAGATTGCAGTCGAAATGTTAATCAACCCATTAAAGACACATGGTACAATCACACATAGTTTAGGTGTGCGTGACTATCAGCCCCCCCCCCAGCTGTCGAAGCGTAGCGGTTTCCCCGTCCTAACATGCGCAGGAATGGAGATACAGGACCGTGAAACACGCTAATTCCTCCATGCTCCGCCCAATGCCTTTTGCGGCGCAGACTCCCGTTTCATGCTAACAGCCGTCCGCGCAGCGCTCTTGGCACTTTGCCAAGTCCTGTAATTGCGCTTTGGAATACAAGTAAAACGCAATTTCCTGATGCGGATAACATTTGAGGTGTTGCTCATGCTGCAAAGTCCGAATAGGATGAAGATGACAAAGGCTAGAAATGAAGAACAACGAATGTAGATGTAAATAAAACAAAAATGAAAAAATTAAGGAAATGCAAATTAATTGAAATCGCGTGTAAATTTCTGCAATTCGGCGCGATTCCGGCTCCAAAGCCATAAAAATACTTAAACTAACGAGTGGGACGCTTAGGCCGTTTTTATTTTCATGTTTTGTGGGAATGCGCGGCCTCCGAGGGATATTGCAGAAGCAGCACAGTTGCTCTTGAGTTCTGGCCCTCGTCATCATCTTCGGTTCTTATTTTGCAGCACCTAAAATGTTATCCGCAGGAAAAAGCGTTTTACTTGTATTCCAAAGCGCAATTACAGGACTTGGCAAAGTGCCAAGAGCGCTGCGCGCGACACGCGCCGCGCGGACGGCTGTTAGCATAAACGGGAGTCTGCGCCGCAAAAGGCACTGGGCGGGCTGTTA